TACATAAGATTGAGAAGTTTAACTGGATTTTAACCCTTTAGCTTTTTGACAATTTTTTTCATTGGCATTAATTGCTCACCCAAAATGATTTTCTTTGGTCAGGTTGGAGATCTTGGCTTTGCTGATGAGCTTGGAAACTACGCCGAATACAGTGGAGCACCCAACGAAGAGGAGGTGTTGCAGTACGCCAGAGTTGTGATTGATGTAAGAACGATACATTTTCACTCTTAGCATTGTATTACACTATTACTATGTCCAGTGCATGTTAGAATGCTGCATTCAGTTTTGCCCTGCATCATTATTCTTCATAAAAGACAAACGTCAAGCCACACATGCGTATGCACCTCATTTTTGTTGTTTAATACTAATCTTACGCCTTGTACAGTGTGCAACTTCTGACCCTGACGGCCGCAAGAGAGCCCTTGTAATTGGAGGAGGTATTGCTAACTTTACCGATGTAGCTGCAACATTCAATGGCATTATTCGTGCCTTGAAGGAGAAGGTGAGCTTAATCTTCTAGTCTGAATCCTAATTGTTTTTCAGCGAGTAATGTTGTTCTGTTCTTATCTTTTCGAAGTATGAAAATTGACAATGGCATATTTGACTACTCAGGAATCTAAGCTTAAAGCCGCACAGATGCATCTTTACGTCAGGAGAGGAGGCCCTAACTACCAGAGGGGCCTTGCAAAAATGCGGGCACTTGCAGAGGAAATCGGCCTCCCTATTGAGGTACCAAATATTTTTCAAATTCCATTGATTAGGCAGACATGCAGAGCTCACACTAAACTTTAATAACGAAGAACTTGTCTGACATTTATGCTTCTGTTTGTGTTCCCTTGCAGGTCTATGGACCCGAAGCAACAATGACCGGTATTTGCAAACAGGCAATTCAGTGCATCTCCGCTGCTGCATAAGTTATCGTTCAGATTGCTCGCACCCTTACTGTCTCCTTTCCTTTCATTTTGATTTCTTTTGTGGCAAGTTTCATGTCTCCATTAAATCCTTGTACCAATTACGTTGTTTCAAAATCCTCGACCGAGTTAATGTAGTTATTACGTGCAAATGGGTAAATGGTAGCATGATGAAGCTGTGTGATGGTCTCGTTACCGTAATAAATAAATAAAAAAAACAAAACAAAAACAAATTTACGTTGGCATTCATTTCTGTGCATGTTGGAATCCTTGTTTTTCAAAGACAACAAACTTGCAAAGAGATCCCAGTGGGATAACTATAACTATGGACGTTAAATCTTATAACCGAATACAAGGCAGATTCACTTCACGAAACAAATGCCGGAGGCCAGTAACCGGAAGATGAATAAGAATACTTTTAATATCCTGCATCAATGAACCAACACGCCAAGGAGCGACCCGACAAATGAATCAAAATCTGAGAATCCCCTTCAACAAATAAATTCGAGAGACCAAAACACTTGGTTCAACTTAATTCAATTTTCAAACCACTACCCTCAACCAAGTTTGCTGTTGTAAATATCTCAAAAAATCAGTAAGAAGCTGTTCAACACCAGAAACCTCAGCAGCAAAGTATGAACTGTATATCTAAAATACTATTCGATAAAATAGTAAATGGGCCGCAGAACCCAGCAAAAAATTTAGCCATGCCCTTCTCTTGTGGGCTTGAGTTCGTTCTGATCCACACTCACCTTTGGTCCTCTTTGAAAGCCGTCGGTCAACATGGAAAAAATAAATTTGTATGATGTTAATAAAAATAAACAGGTGGAAGAAAGAAGAGATGTTGAGAAATTCCGGTAACATCATTTTTTCTCTGTGTTACTGAGTCTGGATCTCTGACTCCATATTCTGCAACACGTTGAAAGATTTATGACCGTGTCTGGACGATAATTGTATTAAATATTAGGAAGAATTGTAGCTAAATTCTTAAATGTGCTAAAATTTAAAATTGACATATAATCACGTGAGCACGTAAGACCATCTCTAATCGAAGGATTTAGAGGGTTAGATGGTCGAAAATAACCTGAAAACCGTCTCTAACGGAGGGCTAGATCAGAGGGCTTGTGGAATCTGAAAGGGCCCTACGAAATCTGAAAGGGCTGACCAGAAAAATCATTATTCCTATCGGTTATAACCGACATGAATTCTTAAGCTAAAATTCAAACGCAACGGCTAGCTGACATCAGCTAGTCGTTGCATTTAATTTTTTTTTTTTTTCTTTTAGGTTTTTTGGGCCTTTTTTTTTTAATTCTTAAAAATTCTATTTTGTTTTCCTATAAGTACCTAAACCATTCATTCATCATTCCTTTAAATTTAATTTGTAGTTTTTGAATTTAATTCGTCGTTTTTAAATATAAGTTGTGGTTTTTAAATTTAAGTTGTTGTTGGATTTGAATTTAAGTTGTTGTAGTTTTTAAATTTAAATGATAAATTATGTTTGGCCCTTTGACCCTCGGTTGGAGACAGTTTTGGCCCTCGGTTAGAGACGAAGGCAAATGTGGCCATGTATTGTTCATTAAAATATTAATATCTTAGAGGGTCAGAAGGCTAAAACAAACCTGCTGATCAGCCCTCGATTGGAGATGGCCTAACGAGTAGGGACGAATCCTTTGAGAGCAGCCTCGGGCTGCAGCCCAAGTGACACTTTGAAAACATAAAAATTAACTACTGGTTTAGTCCAACTCATAAGCCCCGAGTAAGTGTTGCGAAGCTTTATTGCTTAACATGATTTACTTAATTGTTATTTAATATTACGATCCAGTTGTATTCTTTTTTACTTGGTAAGCGACATCTCTTAGGTTCAATTCTCGTCAAAAAATGAATTTAAACCACATTATTGCTAAGCACACCCCCCTCTTAGTATAGATAATATTTTTTGTTAAAGAAAATGTGTTTTACTTAATTTAGGTTATATGATTGAGGATTGTGTTGGATGTTAGACCCTAGTCCAAAAGCTAACAAGGCATCGCAGTGAATAAGAATTGTGATGGAATGTAAGTAGGGTAAGGGTTTGGTTAATGTGCTATAGCTTGAACTCCAAGTATAGATAATATACTGTTTATTATTGAAGAATAAGGGATCCTGATTCTATCATATTTGGACTGAGATTTGATAAATCAAATCCTTGTACAATAAGGAATCTTAATGACATTATGGAAGGATTCATTAGAGTAAAGTTAGTGTAAATACTAAGCAAAGGTCCCTGCACATACCACCGAAACCAACACCAAAGAATTCCCCACAGCGAGTTATACAATTAGCCTTTTTTTTTTTTTTTTAAATTTGCATGAACCAATTAGTTTAACAAATTGTACCAGGTTGTTTATGTTTGTTGAAATTATTTTTTTTTTCAATTGTTCGAGTCTTTCAAGTATTCTCATTATATTAAACTTTTATGTAAGTAGTGTATGCTGTACATATTTGCATTGCATGTTGTCTTTTGCTTTTGTTGTAACTTCTTATATACATTTTGAGGAAGAACTCATTGTATCTCCCTAACTGTGTATATACCCTCACATATATACATTGCGCCACAGACGGCCATGTCTTTCTCCACATATTGACCTCGCGTGTGGCTTGTGAGTTGAGATCAACACTTTTTTTGACAAAATACTGCCCAACTGCACAATACCATGCGCGCGCGCACAAATATATACATATATACATATATATATATATATAAGCTAGTATTTGTCCAAAAAAAAATATATATATATATATATATATATATATATAAGCAAGTATTATGATTATACATATATATGCATTGCCCCTTAAAAGAAAAGATTTCTATGTTTAAAAATGAGAAATTAGGCTCCAGTCCTTAATTATTGATCTTCTTTGATTAAAACCTTGTTATTTTTTACTTTTTGATCAAGGTCCTTGAAGTTTGTACACATCAGCATTTTATTATCAGTATATTTCCATGTCAGCTTTTTATTTTTATTTTTATTGAAATAGTTAATTATTGCATTTTTTTATGCGGGACTGCGTTTTTATTCCACGACTGTTATGCCTCAAACGCCTCCTATGCTTACCAAACTGAATTGACACATCCATTCCACCAACTAATCCTGCTCACTTGATTTCTTCCTTTTTTTTTATTTTTGTAACTGCAAATTCCACAATAATCTCACTAAGTTTTTCAAATTCTTCATTATTATCTTTGATATGATGCTTCAAATTCAAGTTTAGCCAAGATTTGAATTGAAGTCATACTTTATTCGCGAGCATTTGAGCGAGCGCAGTTTTTTGCAGAGTAACTTGAAGAATCAACGACAATTCCGAGCTAAAATTCGAGGTTTTTTTTTTTTTTTTTCTTTTCATTTTTTGAATTTGCACCCATAATTCATTTATACTTTTTTGTCCGCAAAGTGGATTCTTGGTGTTATAATTTTCGTACCCATATTTACAAGTAGTGTAGTATCGTTTTCACAATTGGTTTTGCATATGTAAAATAATTATTTTTCAATTTTTTTTGGCATGTATTGGGGAACTTCAATGAGTTCAGCATGTATCTTGTGGTTTTGCAGTGTTTTTCTGGTGCATACCAAGTGTTTGTCGAAATGTTTGAAAGAGAATTTCGTATACGAAAATTTTGTATGCATAGAAACTGTTTATAAAAATTCTTGAATAAGTCTTTTTCTCTATTGTGGTGTGCATGAGTACAATTCAATTTCATTGTATATATTTTTTAACAATGGTTCATGTGTTGATGTGTTGGAAACTACTGGAGTTGTAGACCGGGTACAAATAGCAAATAATAATTGGACATGGTTTAATTCACAGCGATGGCAATGAGTATTTAGGGAAATATGCAACACTGAGAGGCAAGGTAACTGATTTAATAAGTGCGCCATCAACGTCACTTTTTGTAACCTGATCCTTTTGAATGCAAAAATACCTTTCCATAAATGCAGTGTGTTTCACTCTCACACATTTCATACCGGTGTACTTAAGTATGGAACCCATGTTAGGCAAGCCAAGAATTGCGGCTATATCACTTGGTGTTAACCTCGCGTAAATGTCCCCAAACACAAAGAACTTCATATCTTTATTGTACTGCTTTACTATTTTAGCAATATCTGTGTCAATTTTTTTGCAAAACTCAAATGTAACATGACCATCATGATAAGCCTTAAACAAGTTCCAAAATGGTGTTTTTTTTCATCTCTTCGTCATGTCCCGTCTTGAATAAATCCTTCTATTTTTAGGTACAACTTAGCAAAATGAAGAAGGCTTGAACGATACCTCACAGTTTCCTGTACCTATCCAAAACAAAAACATTTAAATTCTTGCCCAAATCTTCATCACAATATTGTGTCCAACTTCCACATGTATTAATGTAACATATTAATAAGGGAACAATATAGTACAATGTACCAAATCAGACCCACATACAACACAAATGTACTCGAACCATCTTCGTGAGTGTAGGTGCAAACTACATCATCAATATAGGCCATGCACCGACACCATTACTAACATTATCAAGTTTAAAAAAGTTTTCAAGATGTTGAGAATATACCCAAAATTAATTCAAAATCCCATCGTTTATCAAAATTTTCAAGGGAGTTTTAACGAAAAACTCACGGTACTATTCATTTTAACGAAAAACCACATTTTTACACTAAAAACTCAATCATGGTACTATTCACTTTACCCTTTATTTTATCTTTATTATTAAAACTCAAAGTTTTTAAACTTTTTTCATTATTTTTCTAATTTTCAAGTTGGTGAAAGGGCCATACACACTTTTGAATGTTAGTAAAATGAAATCATAATCCCATCGTTCAGAATGCACCCCTGCTTACAATGCTTCAACTCTATAAATAATAAATTGTACCCTATACCACCTAGTTTGTACCCTGCTTGTTAATGTTAGTACAAAGAATTTATACTCCCAACATTGAGAATGTACCCCTGCATACAATGCTAGCTGCAACTCTAATGCAATTGAATTCTACCCCATGCCACCTAGTTTGTGCCCTTGCTTGTCAATGTTAGTAAAAATAATTCAAACTCCCAACATTGAGAATGTTACCCTTATACAAACATTCTCATTCCAAAATTTTCATTCAAACATTTCGACGAACACTTGGTGTACACCAAAAAAACACTGCAAAACCATAAGGTACATGCTGAAATCATTGAAGTTCCCCAATACGTGACCAAAAAAATCGTAAAATAATCATTAATATATACAAAATCAATGGTGAATGACACTACGTTCTCGTAAATATGGTACAAAGATTATAACATCAATCAGTATGAGTGTAATTTCAAAAAATGGAACAATACCTCGAATTTTAGCTCGTGAGGGTCTACAAGCCCCCCTGCAAAAAATTGCGCTCCTTCGAATGCTTGGGGAAAAAATATGATTTTGACTCAAATCTTGCCGAAAATTGAATTTGAGGATTCATATTAAAGATAATAATGATGAATTTGAAAATGGGTGTGAGATTATAGTGGAATTTGCAGTTACGAAAATAAAAAACTGAAGAAAATAGAGTGACTATTTGGTGGAACGGATCCGTGAATTCAGTTCGGCAAGCAAATGAGGCGTTGGAGGCGTAAGAATCGTGAAATAAAAACACAGCGAGGATAAAAAAGGGAAGTGTTATTACTATTCCAAAAATCTCATTCTACACGCCTTATAAGTGCATTTTTCTTTCTAAATATAGAAAGTTTGGAGTGTAAAATGAGAATTTTGGAATGCCAATAACAATTCTCTAAAAAAAATACAATAATTAACTATTTTAGTAAAATAAAAAGAAAGATGACATGGAAATATATTAACAGTAAAATGCTGATGTGGACAATTTCAGGGATTTTGATCAAAAAATAAAAAACAACAGGATTTCAATCAAAGATATCTACCAAATAAGGACCGGATACAATCCCTTTTTTAAATAGGGATTAGTTGTGAAACCCACTTCACATTGAACTTCAATAATCTGAACCGTCTAATTTGTAATAGATCATCCTTACAAATATTTAATTCAATCCCAAATCACTTACTCATTTAATTGTCACGTTGACATTTCAACGTAGTATTCATCAATTTCTTAAACTCAACGAAGTGATTGAAATATTTTTTTATTTAGCTAATATTTCAAAGATAATCTATGAGGTAGAATTACAAAGTTGTGGACCGATATTATGAGACAACGACGTGGACATGTGGTGAGTGTCTATGCATGCAGGCGGTTGGTGTGTCCTATTCAGTGGTAAAGAAATTATTAAATTATTTGAAACAAAAAAATGCATACGGACTGCGACAGTATGACACTATTTAAAGTGGAACCAGGATCCTCGTCGGATCCATTCCCTAGGAATCTTAGGGATCACGCAATTATGTTCTTTTATCGTATATCGTGCAGTCAGTTTTTGTTAGGTACTATTTATATTTGAATTTTAAATTTTAAATTTTAAATGATTTCTGACCTCATGATATACGATGAACGACACAATTACGTGATCCTTAGGATATCTAGGGAATGGATCCGGCGAGGATCCTGGTTCTTTAAAGTGGCCATGTTGCGGTTGGTGAGCTTTCTACTTCTATAGGCCACTGATCTGCTTTCTCCCTTGCCAACTTTGAAGACGCATGCGCCATGCAGGCGGGCAAGCCAATATCATATTCAATTTTTAACTTACAACATAATTTATGTGAGAAACACGTCTTTCCACTGCCGGCCAAAAAGTGCAGGTTGGATCGTTTTAATTACATCCACCAAAAAAACGTGATTAATTGGAGATTTGATAAAGATATGGGGCAACAACTTACCCACTCATCTTTTCCAAGATCCTTTTCTTTCTTCTTATTTTATTTTCCTCTCTTTTCATTTTGTGTGAAGGATATTTTGCAGGAGGATAATGAAACGTCAAAACATCTTACCGTGCATGTGCAATTAAGATCTAGGGCTTGTGTTGAAATTTTGGCTCAAACCTTTGTCGCGCGCATCTGTTTGCAAGTGCAAGACCATACCGAATATCTAAAAAGGAAAATTGGAGAATTGGGAGCATTGTGCAAGGACGCCACCTGCACATCCTAAATTAGGACAAGCCTTATTAAGTGACGTGGAGCATGTGTGCCTGTAGACTTCACATGAGGGACAACCTACTTTAATATTATTAGGATTATATACAATTTTAGGGTTTAGGGTTAATTTTATAAGATTTGGATTAAGTATTACTTATTGGAATTAAAATTTTAAATTAGTTTAATTTCTTAACTTTTCAATCCTAGGCTTAGGATTTAGGTTTAATTTTATAAATATAGGATTAATATTTGAGTTGTAGGTATTAATTTTATGTTTTTTTGTGTTAATTTTATTTTATAATTATAGGGTTGGTTTTATAATTTTATAAGTTTTGTGTTAATTGTATAATTTTAGGGTTCAAATTTTAATTTTTAAAGTTTAGGATTTTGTAATGATTATATAAATTGGGACTAATTAAATAGTTTTAAATATTTGTCGTTCAATTGGATTTTGTAGATGTTGCAATTGATTAGGTAGTGTAGGTATTTCCAACAGCTAGTTTTCTGGACCGTTGGATTTCCAACGGTCAAAAAAATTGAATTTGAAATCCAACGGCTAGTGACGTGGCATGATCTGGGGCGTCCGATCCAGTGATCAACAGTCCACGTTTTTCCGCCCAAAAATTTTATAAAAAAAAGGCACAACGGTCAGAATTATGACCGTTGGCCACGTGTCAACATATAGCTTGTTGGATTTGAAAAAGATTCAAATCCAACAGTCCATATTAATTAACTCAATTAAAATTATTAGAAAATTATTTAAAATTGTTAAAAAATACAGAAAAAAATTAAAAAAATTATTATTATTTTTTCTATAAATACCTAACCCTCATATTCCACCTTACACCACATTTCAATATTTTCAACACTTTCTACCAAAGCTTTCATATACTTTTTTGTGTGAAAAAAATTGCTACATGGAAGCTCATCGAGGATGTTACGTTGTGTGAATGATGGGTTCAAGTCACGCATGAACATATTACGGGTAATGAGATGGAGTTGCGAGAAATGTGGAGTAGAATTACGGAAGCGTTTTGCGCTATACATGGAAAAGACGCCATAAGTAGTCAATGTCACATCCCGGCCCGTGGCAGATCACTTCCCGGCCCCGCTCCACCACCGTAGCACGATATTGTCCGCTTTGGGCTTACCATTCCCTCACGGTTTTGTTTTTTGGGAACTCACGAGTAACTTCCTAGTGGGTCACCCATCATGGGATTGCTCTAGCCCCCTTCTCGCTTAACTTCGGAGTTCCTACGGAACCCAAAGCCAGTAAGCTCTCAAAAGGCCTCGTGCTAGGTAGAGATGGGAATATACATTAGGTCTTCAAGGGCGTTGGAAAAAAGCTCAACATATCCTTCACTTGTTGGAAAAACACTATCTCGATTGCTTCCAGTAATTTGCGTAGTAGGATAAGTTTAGCGGATCAGATGACAATATTTTTATTTATTTATATGCATTCCACCCACATCAATATTTTAATTTATTTATTTGTGTTATACCCGCATTTTATAATATTGTCTTATCCCACATTTTGTAGACTCCAGAACAGTTGATTTTCCCATCCTCGTTATCTCATCCACTTGGTTTGCAAATACTCCATATGCAAGCATCCACAAGGCAGCATTAATTTTTTGCTCAGGAAGAAGACCTTGAACATGAAAAATATCTTTTTTTTTGCACAAATTATGGATCATGGTTTATATGGACAAAAAAAGAAAGGATGAGGTTATGGACACTGACACGTGGCATTACATGATTGGTTGAAAATCTTATCAAAATCTTGGCTAAATTATTGTAAACAGATAGTGACACATGACGTGTCAGAATTGGTTAAAAATCTAATCGGAAATCTATCCACAAAATAGTATGTTTGGATAATGACACATGGCATGACAAGATTGGTTGAAAATCTTATCGAAATCTTGGCTAAATTATTGTAAACAGATAGTGATACGTGGTGTGACGAAATTAGTTAAAAATCCTATCCGAATTAAAACTAAATTTAAATAAAATTTATTATTTTATAAAAAAAATTAATAATATTTTAAATGGACTAGGTGCCAGCACATTTTGTAGGGATAAAGATCGTTTGTGCTAGTGCATTTTTTAGGAGTGGAGAAACATTTGGCCAATTTATTATTTATGGGGTTTATTATTGTTCACTTAGTGGATTAAATAGACTGAATACCAATGCATTTTTTTAAGGTGAACTTGCTTTTACAATAAACACACTTGATACACAAAAGCTTATGAACATTACATACTTTAACAGTCACACAACAAGCGATCCCATATGAAGAAATCTTTGGTGAGTTGCTTTATGGATACACATCTAACTTTCTAGGACAGTGTTGTTGAACCACTCAACTACAATTAATTAATCAACTTCATAAATACTATGATGCATCTATACATCTTTATATTTGTTTGGTGTTACCTTTTAGCTGTTGCAACAGATGGATTTTCTACCTAGTGAATTAAACTAAAGAAGAAAGTTGAATTACACGGTTGATTTAAGTCGTCATGGCCTAGATTGGCAATTTTTTTCCAAAGTGATCAGACTTGACTAAGAGGATTAGCATTCACACAACTTTTTTTACTTTTGACATGTCCTTTTCAATGTTTGGCCGTCGAATTAAATATATTCAAGAAGATCAATGGCCAAAAACTGACAAGAGCGTGAGGATCACTGTCCCTTGATTAATGATCCTATGTTCAGGGAAGCATTGAAATGGAACTAGTTAATTTTTTGTTATGTGTGATGGTTCGGTGCAATAATATTTTTTATGTGTAAGTTTATTTTCATTTGACAATACATTATTAAACTGAGACTCCACAATAACAGAAAACTCATTTGATATAAGTTTATTTTCATATAACAATGAATTATTGAACTGAGACACCACAATAAACTCGTTTAATATAAGTTGCTCTTCATATATTTAATTAATATGGTATTTTGAATCCAAGGCATCAATGCGTGCATTGACACAGATTAAGACCATTCAAACTGTGGCTCCCTGGTCCCTTCCCTTTTGAATATTGAAACAAGAAGTCCCAACATGGACGGCGTGGAATTATTTGCTTTTTTTTTTCTTCTCCAGTATCCAATCGTGGTCAGGTCCACCATTTACACAAACACCCCCCGCGCCCACTCCGCCGGTCACCTCACGCTACTCTGTTTTTTATTCTTTAACGTTAAAAAAACAAATTATTAACATGTGCTTTTTTTTTTTTTTTTTTTTTTCTATTTTGAAATTTTACTAACATGTTTTATGCTACCATCACATATAGGAAGGTTTTCTACATTTACTTGAACGACAAAAATTATTATATTAAACAAAATTATTATACCTTTTTTTTTTCTTTTTAGTTGAAAGATGAAGATTATGGAGATGATCCTATTACAAAAATTATCAAGTAATAATTAAATTTTAAATCGATCCGTGATACCACTTTTTTACACAACTTTGACATATATATTTGTGAGGTCCACTACGTAATGTATTTTAACGATCCAAACCATCTATCTTTTAAAATATCGTTCATAGCCAAAGCTGTTAAGACATTCATTTTTAGTGGAGGAAGTTGACGAATATCGTTCTACAAAGAAATCATAAACCCTTAATCCAACTTATAATTTCGGATTTAGGGTATTTTGGGTAGACAAGATATTTGAAGGAATACCTAAAAGATAGACAGTTCAGATCTCGAGATGAATTACAGAGTGACCACAAAAATGTCTGTCAAAATTGTTTTAAAAAAAAAATCAATGTCACGAATATATATATTAGAGCTTGATGTTGATAAATACGTAGATCTAGAAATTCATTTCGGAATCAAAGAGTTTGTAGATCTGTTCCACCCAAAATGGGAATGTGCTAGGGTTATGAACTTATAATCTATAATCTGATGATCGAGTCGATTCCATGATTATAAGTTCATTCTATAATGAATCAGACCGAAATAGGGTTATATACGTTCTAATTATGAGAAGGGATCATTCAAGTGTACTGAGCTAAACCAATTTGTCGCTGTCTCTAGTAAACCAAAGTCATTGTTTTAAAGTAATCATGAAACTTGAACCAATGTACCTTGTAGCTCGTATTGTTTGTTGATCATAATTCATGAACCCAATTACCATAAAGAATATGTCGTTAATATATTCATACACACACACACATTATAAAATATAAACTCGTCATTTATCACATTCAAATAACCAAAATGTTTATTTGCAAACAATGTATTCTTCTTATAATATGTGATAGTTGCCCTGTATATTAAGTTACCATGCACGTATGTTATTAGTATTACAACGTTGCTATTTACAACAATTATCGTGATATCCGCTGTATCTGTGTATATGCGTGTAAATTATATGTTAAAACTACGGCTTACAATTTAAAATCAATTAGTTTAATCCAATTACATAAAGATTGAAAAGCATATGCAAACAGAAATGCAAAAATATTTAAGGGGTCTTTTAATATGGGTCCAAAGTAACTAAAAATTGGACTTATTTCAAAAGTAAAAAATCACTAAAAATTGGATGCACGCTCACCATTCCTTGTTAGGGTCCGACTATTCCCTATATAAACGAGTAATGCTATTCATACCATGTTTTTATATCACTTAGGTGACATCTAATGTGGACAGCCACATTATTTGAAAAATTTGCAAAACCCAAGAAAATGAAGGAGAAAGAATCCTCGTATTCCACAATCATCATTTAATTAACTAATTTTTCTTAATTATTAATTTATTAAATAACACACTAAATTAAAAAAATCTGATTAATTCAAATGATGTGGTTGTCCATATCAAATGTCACCTAAAATAATATGAAAATGTGGTACAAAAACATGGTATCAACAACATTATTGTATATAAACATCCCACCCCACACACGCCTTTCCCACTCTCTGTCTCTCTCTCTCTCTCTCTCATCCTTTCTTTCTCTCTCTAAAATAATCAGCAATGGCGCCTGAGCAGGTTCAAATTCCGACCAAAATATCCAGAAACGAAGACCAGCAAGAATCTCCGCTCTACGGAGACATCTTAGAGGCCATACTCTACCACGTGCCTCTCCTCCATCTCGTCCCTGCCTGCCTAGTGTCCAAGTCTTGGAACCGCGCGGTCTTCTCCTCCCTCCGCCACCTCAACCGAAACGTCAAGCCCTGGCTCATCGTCCTCTCCCAAACCACCTGGTCTCCCTACAAGACCACCGCACGTGCCTACGACCCCGCCTCGCACGCTTGGATCGATATCCACTCTCAGCCGTCGATCAAATCCATCTCCACCCTCCGATCCTCTCACTCCAAACTCCTCTACATGCTCTCTCCCTCCAAATTCGCCTTCTCAACCGATCCCCTCCACCACACGTGGCACCACGTGGACGGCCCTCTCGTCTGGCGCACCGACCCGATTGTCGCGCTGGTCGGCCACCGCATAGTCGTCGCAGGCGGCACCTGCGAATACGAGGACGACCCCCTGGCCATCGAAATTTACGACACGAGGGAGCGAAGGTGGTGCACGTGCAACTCAATGCCCGCTATCCTAAAGGACTCCGCGGCCTCCACGTGGCTCTCTGTCGCCGTGGACGACAGCAAAATGTACGTGACAGATAAAAACACCGGTTTGACCTACACGTTCGATCCCGACTCCAGGACGTGGAGTGGACCGTACGATCTGTGTCCCGACGGTACGGTGATCGGCGCCATGACCGGATTCGCTAACGGCTGTTTCATTTTGGTGGAAGCGATCGGAAGCGAGGTGCATTTGAAAGGCGTGAAAGTGTGGGAAGTGAACGGCTTGTCATTTGAGTGCAAAAAGTTGATCGGGGAGATGCCCCCGGCGATGATGGCGAAGCTGAAGGGGGAGAGCGACTGCGCAGGGACGGTTTCGATGAGCTGCACGAGAGATATGGTGTGCCTGTATAACCCTTGGTCGCCGGAGGAGCTGATTCTCTGCGAGCTTGTCGACGGCGGGTGCAGGTGGGGGAGTGTACGGAATGCAGTTGTGAACGGCGGGACTCGAATGCAGAAGCTGGTGGTGACGTGTTCGAATGTGGGATTGCCGGATTTGCACAAAGCCGTACAAGTTGGAGCGCTGAAAGTGGTTTGAAAAAGGCGGCATGAATCATGGCTGAAATTTAATCGTGTTTTATATATGAAATTTTATTAGTTTTCCAAAAGGTATGTTGTTTCGAGAGCTTTCGTTAAATTTAATTAAGAGACGTTTTGACATAGGTGCGTTTAAAATTTTTTAAACTAAACATCTATGCTTTTGAAAGATTTGATAAACTCTCATTCTCATAATTTTGATGCCACATGTATTAGAATTAATCATTTTTAATACCAAAATTACATGATCTGACACTACCCCATATTTATTAAAATCTCACACCAAAAAAATGCACAGCATATTGAACCAAACTTCCAATAATCTAGCATTTCGATTAACCTCTCCCTTTTGAGATATTTCACAATTTCTTCCTATAATTTAGCAATGATTATCTACAATTGAACATAATTTTTTCTCAAAACGGTTGAAAATATTTTTAAATCTCACTAAATCAAACGTACCAATATAATTCTTTATATCAATAACTTAAGAGAAAATAGGACTAGCAACCGTATAAACGTACCAATAAATAATGCGTATGAAATTGAACATAGCAAAATCGAAAGTAATGTACCAATATCAACAATATGTACCAAATCAAACATACTAAAACTGCAAATAAATGTACCAATCAATGTTTTTTACAAATTCAAACGTGCCCAACGATTATATTGTGACATCTCACATCGCCCAGGGGAGTGATCTTTATATGTATATTCTCATCCCTACCTAGCACGAGGCCTTTTGGGAGCTCACTGGCTTTGGGTTCCGTAGGAACTCCGAAGTTAAGCGAGTAGCGCGCGAGAGCACTCCCAGGATGGGTGACCCATCGGGAAGTTCTCGTGTGAGTTCCCAAAAACAAAACCGTGAGGGCGTGGTGGGGGCCTAAAGCGGACAATATTGTGCTACGGTGGTGGAGCGGGCCCGGGAAGTCGTCCCACCCGGGCCGGGATGTGACAATTTGGTATCAGAGCCTACCCCTGGCCGCGTGTGTGCCGACGAGGACGTCGGGCCCCTAAGGAGGGTGGATTGTGACATCTCACATCGCCTAGGGCCTAGGGGAGTGATCTTTATATGTATATTCTCATCCCTACCTAGCACGAGGCCTTTTGGGAGCTCACTGGCTTTGGGTTCCGTAGGAACTCCGAAGTTAAGCGAGTAGCGCGCGAGAGCACTCCCAGGATGGGTGACCCATCGGGAAGTTCTCGTGTGAGTTCCCAAAAACAAAACCGTGAGGGCGTGGTGGGGGCCCAAAGCGGACAATATCGTGCTACGGTGGTGGCGCGGGCCCGGGAAGTCGTCCCACCCGGGCCGGGATGTGACATATATACACATAATATCTTGTACCTAATAATAGTTTATCAACAACTATAAGTAAAAAAAAAACAAAGGAAAATAGTTTGACAAAAAAATATGAAAAAAAATACAGATTACTTTCTATGTTGGATATCACCAACCATTTGGAAAAAAAATCAATAAAACGAACCATTTGGAAAATGTGATAGTATTAAAGTTTGTAGGACAAATAAATTATTTTGATCGAAAGAAAATAATTGAAAAAAGAGATAATAAAGTTAATAATTAATATCTCACTAAATAAGGAAAAAAAAACGCATCAAAAAACTAAGAGGATAATTCAAACTTAATAATTAACATTTTATTTTTAAAAAAAATACAATAATAACATGTAATTTAATTTAACAGAAAGTTGCAGGGAATTCTAATTTTCTTTTTAATTAATCGAAAATAATGGTGACAAATGTTACATTGGACGGTCCGTTATTCTATGTTTCTGTTCACTTACTAGAACACGGTTTGCAGAAAAAGACATATTCAAGTCTTGTTACAGAACATGTTGTGTGATGATTGAAGAGATTTTTCATTATGCTGGAACAAGTGACAACACGTCACATATCATTATTTAATTAAACGAATATTTGAAAACAAAATTTTCTGTCATTGTACAAGCACATGCGACCTACACGCTTGATCCCGACTCCAAGACGTGGAGTGGACTGTATACGATATGTGTCCCGACGGTACGGTGTTCGGCGCCGTGACCGGATTCGCTAACGACTGTTTCATTTTGGTGGAAGCGTTCGGAAGTGGTGTGACGTTTGAGTGCAAAAAGTTGACCGGGGAGATGCCGCCGGCGATTAGGGACAAGTTGAAGGGCGAGAGCAATTGCGCGGGGACGGTTTCGATGACCTGCACAAGAGAACTGGTGTGCCTGCATGGATGGAGCCAATGAAGGCCCACTGAGAGCAGATGCCCACAAATAGCTGTATAATCAAATTCAGATATATTACACTATTAGCGTATGTATATAAGGTTAAGATTGGGAACGCATTTTTATATACAGAGTGTACAACTATTTTGTAATAATGTATTTCAACGATGGGTTTTTTGTCTAAAGAAATACCTTAAGAAAAGGCAAATGTATAGAATCTTTAAAAGAGATTGTGTTTTTTCAACTCTCTCAAAATGAAATATATTCTAAATTTTGTCTACCAAAAATCATCCAAATTCAAATCATATGGCCATTGAAAATATTTATGAAGTGGAGCCTGAGAAGGTGTGTCAATAGGTGTGTCCAAAAATCTCTCAATTCTAATATATATTATATATGTCTATCTATTTATAAATTACAACGACAACTCATATTTATAGTGTGGATAAGACGTAATGGTCCAGTTATAAATATGCGGAGTGTGGATGCATGGATCTGGAGTTTGGAGCTATGCATGCATTATATACATGTGTTTGATCATATTATGAACATTATTGTGAAAGTAAGGATGGCAGCAAATTGATAAGTGCTCTTCACTTATCTTCTCCCCTTCGAGTTCAGCAAGTAATTGTATATGTTTTCAGTTTTTTGGATTCGTTTTGTATGTGTTTTTTTTATTCTTAATGCAATAAATATACTTACAATAAGGGATGAAGAGGGTAGATTTACGCAACAAAATAAGCTTGTCATAATAATTCGATATCAAACTTGTCATTATGCTAAGCTTCTGTTTGTAGTCCTATATTGGTATGAACGATTTGAATTTGTTGATATAGAAGAAATGGGGGCTGGTTTTACTTTTGTTCCGAAATGCTTTAACTAGGGAAATGGATCCTCTCTGGATCCCTTCCACCTAATCATCCTCATCAAACAATCTGGGTCCTTAAAATTTAATTAAACGGCTAAAGTTATTATAACTTTTAGACTGAACCCCTGTTTGTAGCTTTTTGATCAAATTTCAAGAATTCGAATTGTTTGATGAGGAGGATTAGGTAGAAGGGATCCGGAGATGATCCCTTTAACTTAGAATTGTAGATTGTTGGTGCTAATAAGTAATAAGAACCTTTTGACTTAGTTACTTGTTTGATTCGAGTTTATATAGTTTCAGGTCCACGTTTGGAGCAGTGTTTACAGTTTTCTACTATTATTCTCTTCTTTTAATTTCAACTTATGGGAACCATACTTTTTAACTTAAAATTTGACTATAAGGTGAAATGTTAAGAGATGGGTGCTACTGTACTGGTAATAAGTATTGTAGAGTTTAGATTCCATTTTATGGTCATGTTTTCCGATCCGTCCCGAATACTGAAAACATTTTAGGAATCTTGAAATTCGGGAAAACCAAAATTTCAGTTCGAGCTCGATATTCAGATTTCCGTCCAGACAAAGAGTCGGTTTGGGACTCGGGATCCTATTTTCGGTTCAGAATCCTATAACAAACCAGCTTTAGGTCTAATGGTTAAACTATTTTTTTTTAGAACTGGAGACGGTTGTTGGACATGGGTGTCCATTCTGTCGAACGTGCATGCATCGCCAGCTAGTATTTATATTTTCGAGTCTTATTTGAAGTAGTTTTTAAATACAAATTTATCGAAATCTTAAATGTGAAAATAAATAATTTTTTTTAAATGAAGTCCAGACATCATTTTTGGCGACAACCTGGACTTAGAAAATCTGTAAACTGTTCCTGCTAGAAACGCTCTGTAGCAGGATAGTCCTTGCACCGATTGCACTGCATAATTAGCCATGTAAGATCAAAATATATGCCGTCTAATACTATTGTGAAAGATGTCTTGGATCAGAATGCCAGTAGCTAGCTAGCCATATATTTCTTCACTCTGTTTCAAGATCTCCGATCCTCTTCTCCGATCTCCGATCACCTTAGGTATTACTATTCTTGGCCAATCCCCAACGTGTACAGCGTGGATTAGCTTGTGTTTCTTCATCAACATCAGATAGTGTAGGGGTCCACTGATTATACACATCATTTGTTTCGGTAAATAATGTTCCAAGGACAGACAAGTTATTGTACATCAGATACAAGATAGTGTTGTGTAAAATATTAACGAGTATCGACGACGCTAGTTGGTCGTTGTCAATTCCTTATCAGAGTTAGTGTTGCTCGTCGTCAAAAAACGTCATCTTGTTTGTTATATAACATTTTGTGCGAGTTTGCATATTCTATTCGCAAAGTGTTTGACATTTATACCATGAATACAGTTTTTTGACTTTGAAGTTCCATATTAGTCTTCTGAGTTTAGGCATGGTTTTGTATGTGTTCCTTGCTTATTCTCTGGCTTGTCTCTCCATCAAAACTACCAATCAACTAGTTTAGTCTTGTTAGCCTTTTATGTTTTGCTAAAGTTGCTTAGAATTGAAGTCCTCTTAGATGTTATCTCGAATGTGCTCTTTGGTATTTGTATTTATTTAAATTTTTGATATTTTAATAAAATCGTTGTTGAAGAAAGTTGAGGATGTTTCGTTATAAAATCAATTGGCAATATGAGAAATAACTAAATTACTTATAAGCATATTTAAGGTATCTCCTCTCATCAACGTGAGATTCATTCTCAACACGCCTCCTCATGTGTGGCGAATTTTCAAGCCTAACATGTAGACAACACAGCGAGGTGACGTGGAGAGCGCGTGGTCGTTTATCTTTACACGTGAGACAATTTGCTCTGATATAATGAAGAAAGTTGATGTTTCATTATAAAATCAATTGACAATATGAGAAGTGACCCAATTATTTATAAACACATGCATAATCCCTCCTCTAACTAATGTGAAATTTTAAACAATTTTGTCTCAAAAAGAAAAAGAGCGCGCACATGTAACTGGAAACAATGGATTAACCGACTCAAATACACAACAAATCAAATCGTAAAATGTTGTCTGTCAAAAAAAAAAAAAATCGTAAAATGTTGAAGTCAACGGACGCAATAGTCAATAATCAATTAATTAGTTCATTCAAATAGAAAATAATTAAAGGTTAATAATTTCCTAATAAACAATCATAGTCTATAAATTGCGACATGTTCCACTTCCACTTGCATATTCTTTTTCTTTACAGTCAGCATTCCTATGTAAGCCATCCCGGTACGACTTTCCCACCCAAAAACTCTCTCTCTCTCTCTCTAGAAAATTAGCAATGGCGGTTGAGGAGCTTGAAGACCAAGCTCGGACAGAAACTTCCCACATCGAAGTCCGGCAAGGACCTGACGAACTCGACGGAGACATCTTAGAGTCCATACTCTCCCGCGTGCCTCTCCTCCACCTCGTGCCTGCCTGCCATGTGTCCAAGTCCTGGAACCGCACCGTCTCTTCCTCTCTCCGCCGCTTCCACCGAAACGTCAAGCCCTGGCTCATTGTCCTCGCTCAAGCCACCAGGTCTCCCTACCACACCACCGCACGTGCCTACGACATCGACTCGCACGCTTGGATCGACATCCACTCTCAGCCGATGATCGGATCCATCTCCACCCTCCGATCCTCGAACTCCCTCCTCTACGCGCTTTCTCCCTCTAAATTCGCCGTTTCAACTGATCCACTGCACTACAAGTGGCACACGGTGGATGCCCCGCTGATATGGCGCACGGACCCGATTACCGGCGTGGTGGGCCACCGCATCGTCGTCGCTGGCGGCACGTGTGATTTCGAGGACGATCCACTGTCGGTGGAAATGTACGACACTGTGTCAAAAACGTGGACCATGTGCGACTCGATACCCGCTGTTCTCGAGGACTCTGCAGCCTCCACCTGGCTCTCTGTCGCCGTCGACGACAGTAAAATGTACGTGATGGATAAAGGCTCCGGTGTGACATGCTCGTTCGACCCGGATTCCAGCACGTGGTCTGGACCGTATGATCTGCGTCCCGATGAGACCGTTTTTAGCGCCGTCATTGGATTCGCTGAGGACCGTTTGATCTTAGTGGGCGCGGTGGGAAGTGCAGAGAATTTGGAAGGCGTGAAAGTGTGGGAATTGAACGGCGTGTCGTTTGAGTGTAAAGAGTTGGTCGGAGAGATGCCAGAGGCAATGGTGGAGAAGCTGAAGGGCGAGAGCGATTGCGTGACGTCGATTGGGATGAGCTGCATTGGACATATGGTGTGCCTGCATAACCCTTGGTCGCCGGAGGAGCTGATCCTCTGCGAGCTCGCTGAGGGTGGGTGCAGCTGGGGTAGCGTACGGAATGCGGCGGTGGACGACAGGACTCGAATGCAGAAGCTGGTGGTGACGTGTTCGAAAGTGGGTTTGCCGGATTTGCATAAAGCCTTACAAGTTGGAGCGCTGAGATTGGTTTGAAAAACTTGGCCGATCGACAAAATTAATCGTTTACTATTTCGTACTTATTTTAAACTAAGCTGTTCTTTTTTTTGTTTTAACAAATAAACTATGTATTTGGTTTAGAGCTTTCGTTCAATTTAGCTTATCAAATAATAGTGACAAATAAATCAATCGAGGCATTGCCGTATCTTCTACCGGCTTTTAAAATTACGAAATAATTTAAGAAATTGTTTTCACATTTTATAATTAAAAACATTGTTTTTTATTATCTATTTCTACTATTATTTGTTAAAGAATAAAGTTAAAGTTTCATCATAAAATCAATTATTTGTTAAGGAAGAAAGTTGAAATTTTACCATAAAACCAAGGGTGCTTTAGATTTAGCCCCTTACAACTGTTGAACTCTAAACATAAACCCACCTATATTAAAACATCTAAATAAAACCCAAATTTTGAATTTGATGTCATGTAAGATAAAAGATGTCCATGCATTTAAATTTATTTACAACACCATGCCACCAGCATTAATATGGCTATTACGGTTTTTTTGTAGACTTTTAATTTATTGTCTTTTGTTTGTCAACAACATTCAATTAGTTTAAGTTTTTTTTGCTTTTAATTTTTAAAAAAAAAAAAAAGTTATTTTCTTCTTTTATGTGAAATCGCGTAATCCAAATCTAATTAGTTCAATACACATTCTATTGAAAAAGTAGATACATTAACTTGTGAAAATTAAAATAAAAAAAAGGTAAAAATAAACTTGTAGATACATTGTTTCTTGTAAAAACTAAACAATGGTTACATTATTTTCATATAAAAAAAAAAACCTAAATAATAGGTACTTTATTTTTGGAAAAAAAAAAAAAAACTAGTAAAAACATTGTTTCTTTTAAAAATTAAACAATGAATTTATAAGGTAAATTTGTTTTTATGTATTTTGCATATATGGGTTTGTTATTATGTAGGTAAATTATTTTTCATGTATTTTACATATACTGGGTATATTATTTTTCTTTTTTTTAAGCAATCTAATATTTTAAAATTTTAATAGTAGGTGCACTATTTGAATCAAATGTTTTTTTTTTTTTTTTTTTGTAGGTAAATTATTTTGCATGAATTTTACATATATCAAGCATATATAAATATATATATATATATATATGTGTGTGTGTGTGTGTGTGTGTGCGCGCATGCGTGTGTGTGTGAGAAATAATTTACCTACACTAATATGTAAAATATAATTTTATTGAATTAATTAAGCATGTATAATAACATATATTAGACATGTTGTATGTTATTATTATTAGGCAATGAATTTATAACATTATTGTTTTTTTTTTTTTTTGTAAAATCATTAATTCTCCCTTACTATCCATCTGCATGGCATTAATTATGTACATCAAACATTCAAATAGGGTTTATAAAAAAAAAAATTCAAACACTACTACAATATAGGCTATCACCGGCGGACCAAAAACCGACAAGAAACCCCGATTTATGTCGGAAATTTGGCAAAAATCCGACATAAAACACTGCAATGTCGGATTGGAATAGCGACGCCATTGCTACCGTCACTAAAGGGCTTCAGCGTCGCTTTGTTCGCTTAATCCGCCACTACGCAGAGTCGGTTTAAAGCGACGCTGATGTTAACGTCGGTTTAAAGCGACGCTAGTCAACAATTAACTAAATAAAATATGCAAACTAGTGACGGTTTAAAGCGACGTTAGAGAACAATTAAATAAATAAAATATGCAAACTAGTGACGATTTAAAGCGACACCACCTTTGATAATAATAATTAAAAAAAAAGTCGAAATCTGTTTCTGTATTCGTTCTCAAATAATTATAACTCAAAAAAATTATATAATCGAAATAATAAATTTCAATTTTAGGCCAAAACAAACAATAATAAAAATAATTCAAAAGAAAAATAGTGCCATAATATACAAATGTTTTACATCTAACATTCCATATAATTTACAAAAATTCATCCTCCATGCTTTCCTGTGCTTGCCTTTGTCGAAGACCACATATTTTGTAGCTCCATAGTGCCATATATAATACTAGCAACTCCATGCTGCCATGCTTGCCATCAGATCAGTGCTCCAATACTTTACTACTTCAACATTAAGGCTCTAATCTCTATAGATTAAACTCAGGTTTTATACCTTTAAAAAATTATGGATCTGCGATTTCCAGTGTCCTTGCTCTTCAGATCCAACATGCATAAATACAAAAAAAACAATTAAAAACCAAGAAACAAAAATAAATTTTCAATTTAAGCATAAAACTATTTAGAATACAAAATAGAAACTAAAATTAATAATCATAATAATTTAAAAATGAACCACCTTCAAGCTCTTCCTCCTCGAATTGGAGTTCTTCAGAATGTTGATCTTCAAACTGGTGATCCAAAGCAAACGGGGAAGGAGTTGAGGAAAAAATGAAAACGAGGAAGAAGGGGACGCACAGATGAAATGGGGAAGGAGAAGAAGAAAGTCTGAAATTGGGGGAGAAATGAAAGCACGGTTGAAATGGGAAAGAGAGGGGTTTAAATATGGGTACTTAGTTTGCGTCCGTTAAAACCGACACAAACGTCTGACACTTTTTTTGAAATTCACATAGCGTCGCTTTAATGAAACTCGCGTCGCTTTAATGAAACTAGCGTCGCTTTAAACCGACACAAACTTCTGACACTTTTTGAAATTCACATAGCGTCGCTTTAATGAAACTAGCGTCGCTTTAATGAAACTAGCGTCGCTTTTAACCGACGCCAACTTCTGACACACTTTTTGAAATTCACATAGCGTCACTTTAATGACACTAGCGTCGGTTAAAACCGACACTAAGTCTCTCCATCCATTCAAACAAGCGGGAAATTTCCCGCCTAATATTTCAAATACTATAATTTTATATATATTAATTTTATAACCCTAAAAAATACTATAATAATTATATATATTAATGTAACAATTTTATACCCCTAAAAACTATAATAATTATATATATATATATTAAATTAAATTTTAAAAATTGGTGACCGTTGGATCAGTTTCAATATACATACCATTCAATTTCTTTAAGTGTTATACATACAAAATAAATAAATTTAAATCTACTTAATAAATATATATATATATACACACACACCATTGAACTTGATGAGATACAAATTCTATGGAACTTTTCGATGGTTATAAAACGAAAAACTAATTTAAATCAATATGTCGCTTAAAAGCGACACTGGGTTTCAAAATATTTAAAAAAACTAATTTAAATTGAAGATCGAATTCATTCATTCTATTCATATAGGGTCAAGGAATGTAGCTGTAAAAAATCATCAAAATCGGAGTTAAAATAACCGTTAAATCGTGATTTTTCGTTTATAACCGTCGAAAAGCTTTGTCCCGTTACTTGATCTCTGAATGTTTGTTTTTTGTGATTTTTTGCTGATGTGATCTTGAAGCATATGCAAACAAGTTTGACTGTTGGGATCGTTGAAATTAGTTTCGGAGAATTCGTATCCCATCAAAACAATAGATTGACTAATACTTAGAGTTTATTTATACTTTCATTAAGTATAACATAAGATTTTGTGGTATCTACTTGTGTAAATATTTTAATTTGAAGATCGAATTCATTCATTGTATTCATATAGGGTCAAGGAGTGTAGCTGTAAAAAATCATCAAAATCGGAGTTAAAATAACCGTTAAATCGTGATTTTTCGTTTATAACCGTCGAAAAGCTTTGTCCCGTTACTTGATCTCTGAATGTTTGTTTTTTGTGATTTTTTGCTGACGTGATCTCGAAGCATATGCAAACAAGTTTGACGGTTGGGATCGTTGAAATTAGTTTCGGAGAATTCGTATCCCATCAAAACAATAGATTGACTAACACTTAGAGTTTATTTATACTTTCATTAAGTATAACATAAGATTTTGTGGTATCCACTTGTGTAAATATTTTAAATTGAAGATCGAATTCATTCATTCTATTCATATAGGGTCAAGGAATGTAGCTGTAAAAAATCATCAAAATCGGAGTTAAAATAACCGTTAAATCGTGATTTTTCGTTTATAACCGTCGAAAAGCTTTGTCCCGTTACTTGATCTCTGAATGTTTGTTTTTTGTGATTTTTTGCTGATATGATCTTGAAGCATATGCAAACAAGTTTGACGGTTGGGATCGTTGAAATTAGTTTCGGAGAATTCGTATCCCATCAAAACAATAGATTGACTAATACTTAGAGTTTATTTATACTTTCATTAAGTATAACATAAGATTTTGTGGTATCTACTTGTGTAAATATTTTAATTTGAAGATCGAATTCATTCATTGTATTCATATAGGGTCAAGGAGTTTAGCTGTAAAAAATCATCAAAATCGGAGTTAAAATAACCATTAAATCGTGATTTTTCGTTTATAACCGTCGAAAAGCTTTGTCCCGTTACTTGATCTCTGAATGTTTGTTTTTTGTGATTTTTTGCTGACGTGATCTCGAAGCATATGCAAACAAGTTTGACGGTTGGGATCGTTGAAATTAGTTTCCGAGAATTCGTATCCCATCAAAACAATAGATTGACTAACACTTAGAGTTTATTTATACTTTCATTAAGTATAACATAAGATTTTGTGGTATCCACTTGTGTAAATATTTTAAATTGAAGATCGAATTCATTCATTCTATTCAAATAGGGTCAAGGAATGTAGCTGTAAAAAATCATCAAAATCGGAGTTAAAATAACCGTTAAATCGTGATTTTTCGTTTCTAACCGTCGAAAAGCTTTGTCCCGTTACTTGATCTCTGAATGTTTGTTTTTTTGAGATTTTTTGCTGATGTGATCTCGAAGCATATGCAAACAAGTTTGACGGTTGGGATCGTTGAAATTAGTTTCCGAGAATTTGTATCCCATCAAAACAATAGATTGACTAACACTTAGAGTTTATTTATACTTTCATTAAGTATAACATAAGATTTTGTGGTATCCACTTGTGTAAATATTTTAATTTGAAGATCGAATCCATTCATTGTATTCATATAGGGTCAGGAGTGTAGCTGTAAAAAATCATCAAAATCGGAGTTAAAATAACCGTTAAATCGTGATTTTTCGTTTATAACTGTCGAAATTAGTTTCATAGAATTCGTATCCAATCAAGTTCAATGGTGTGTGTGTGTATATATATATATTAAGTAGATTTAAATTTATTTATTTTGTATGTATAACACTTAAGAAATTGAATCGTATGTATATTTAAGCCAATCCAATGATCACCAATTTTTTAAAATTTAATTTAATATATATATATATATAATTATTATAGTTTTTAGGGATATAAAATTTAATTTAATATATATATATATATACACACACTTTATGTCGCTTAAAAGCGACACTAGTATTTAAAAATTATTAAAATAATGTTTACGTCGGTTTAAAAGCGACACTAGTATTTAAAAATTATTAAAATATATGTTTACGTTGGTTTAAAAGCGACATAAACATTTAATAACGCTTATAAGCGACAGTAAATCCGACGTCATGTTCAGTTAGTGTCGCAACTGCCTAATCCGCTACTATATTAGATTAAAGCGACACCACCCTCCGACACTATAGCCCCCTTTTGTAGTAGTGAAATAGGGGTATTTTAGGCATTCGATTTTTTTTAATGTGTGAAGTCAAACATAATTAATGAATTTGCTGATGTGGAATCTAGTTAATGGGTTTTATTCAAGAAAAAAACTTATGTCGGGTTTTATGTAGAGAAGATTAAGTTTTAGGGGCTAAAGTCATATTCTCATTAAAACGAATTAGCAATGTAAGAAGTAGCCCAACATTTTAGAACATCCCCAATGGGGGCTTTATCCTCCTGAGGCTACCACATTTCTAGCTTTAGCGAGAAATTTCATCCCATCCCTAATGAGCCGGAAAATGGGGCTAGATCCACCATCGGGGCTAGCAACTTCATTTCTTGGTTAACATAAAATTGGGCTACATCTAACCCCAAAAAACAGTAGGTCTCGCAAAAAAAGTAGCAACCTATGTAAGCAAAATTCTATAACTCTCCCTCCACTTGCGAATACACTTATGCTCTCCTTTTATTATTTTTTTAATTCTTTTTTCTTACTTATTTTTCTTGCAAGTTGGCTAATTAATGATTGTTTTAAATTTCATACGAATTAAAGTTTCAAATTGATTTAATGTTCATGGGTATTGATGGGTGAAATTTTTAAATAATTTTTTTTTTCAAAATTGTATGATACTAATTTACCAATTGGTGCTGGGTAAATTGTTATGTTATACGTGAAAACCACACTATTTCGGAGGGCGAATTGGGGGTTTGTTTTTTTTTCAATGGTTGAGATTGAGATAAGGGAATTTAATAAAACAAACGATTTATAAGTAATGAAATATAACTTTATCACAATTTGAATTTTTTAGGTTGAAGGGTTCATAAAAAAAAAAATTAAGATAACATGTCCAAAAATCAACTTAAGAAAAGCTAACACAAAAAAAATCATGCCTTAATCAAATTACTACATAAATAAATATATATAACCCCATATAGAGTCCGAAAGATATAGCCCTCATTGGGAGAGATTCTTTTATAAAGCCCCAAAGATTCCTCAGAACTCTAAAATAGCTATATCCACCACTTTTCTAGCCTCATATAGAGCCCCTCACTGGGGATGCTCTTATAAGTCTTTACAAATGACTTAATTTCACCAATATGAGATTCTTTTACCTTCACAACACCACACGCCCCCTCACCGTGGGGTGAATTTCCAAGCCAAACACATGGACAACACGAATTGATTGACATGAAGCACGTGTGGCTGTTGGAATTTACATGAGAGACAAATTACTCTGATACCATGAAGAAAGTTAGGATTCCACAATAGTTTTATAGAAGATATTGATATTTATCAACTGGATGCATCTTTTTCAGTGTTTAAAAATTGCTAAGAACTCACGACTACGCCACTCGTTGTACTAGCGATGGAGCATGACTTGAATTTCACTGAAAATGTGTATTCGTATTCCATAACGCTCGTCCCGTCATGATATATACATTGTGTAATATCGACCAGAAGTGAGCCTATCTTGACTGTGAGTGGAGATAATATAGATTCCTTTATCACATGCATGAATGGTCGCTCAGCCAGTTGCCAACGTAGTCATGAATTGACAAGAGCCAATATCTGCCCAGCCGTACTAGATGACTGAGAACATTGTGCATCCATCACAGAGTAAAATGATCACAGGTTCAAGATATCTCAAGAGACATGACTCCCTCAAACTCATGCATCCTTGTTTGGATAAGGATAAGATGGCAGACAGAAGGAAAATTGATCGATTCCCATCTATACTTATCTTCTCCCTCAAACCCAAATTCATATTGTACTTTGCATTATGTAAGCCAATGATTTTAGCGCCTCGTTTACGTTACCCATTTCACTCATACAAATTCTCAAATTTTGTTTTCACGTGTTTCGAATAATTGTGAAGGTTACTTTCAAGTGAGAAAAAAGGTGGCTGAGTGCTTGCCCTACTAATAAAAAAAC